ATTGTTTTTTCTAGTTGTGGTATCAAGGTGTTGGCTCCATAGAATTAGTGAGAAGTATTCCCTATGGTCTACTTTTTTGGAAGAGCATGTATAGAATCACCATTATTTTTTCTTACATAGTTTGTAGAATCCACTTGTGAAGCCATCTGAGCCTAAAGTTTTCTTCATGAAAATGCTTTGAACTAGAAATTTAATTTCTTTGATGTTATCTATTGCTTCTTGATTGAGCTTTCATAGTTTGCATTCTTTAAGACATTTGTCCATTCATTTAGAGAAATTCATTTACATAAAATTGCTCATAATATTGTTTTAGTTACTTTTAATATCTGTAGAAGGTGCAGAGATATTACCTCTCTGATTCTATCTATTGGTAATGTGTATTTTTTTTTTCTCTTTTTTTCCTGATCAGTCTGGTTAAAGTTTTATCAATTTGATTGATCTTAAAGCTTTGACTTCATTGATTTTTCTATTATTTTTCTGTTTTTTACTTCACTGATTTTGCCCTCTGATTTTTATTATATCATTTATTTTATTTACTTTGGAGTTCTTTTTTTTTTTTCCAGTTTTTAAAGGTAGAAGCTGAAGTTGTTAATTTGAGATCTTTCTTGATTTCTGTTGCATGCATTTGGTGCTATAAATTTCCCCATGACTAATGCTTTTATGGCATACCACAAATTTTGACATGTTGTACTTTAATTTTCAATCAATTCAAAATACTTTCTAGTTTTTCTTATGATTTCTTTTTTTTTGATCCAAGGATTATTTAAAAGTATATTTTTTATTTTTACATATTTAGAGATTTTCCAAATAATTTCCTGTTGTTTATTATTAATTTAATTCTGTTGTGATCAGAGTACATGATGTGAACTATTTTTAAATTATTGAGACTTCTTTTATGATCGAGAGTATGGATTATCTTACTAAATGTGCTGTATGTATTTCAAAAGACTGTATGTATTTCAAAAGACTGTATTCTCTTGCCATTGGCATGTTCTATAAATGTCAATTAGATAAGCTAATAGATAGCATTTTGCAAATCTTTGCTAGCGTCATTCAACTGTTTCATTAATTATTTACAGAAAGGAATAGAAATCTCCAACTATAATTATGGGTTTTTCCATTGCTCCTAACTGTTCTATCAGTTTTTGTTCCATGTACCTTGAAGGTCTGTTATTAAGTGCATAAACATTTAGGACTACAGTCCTAATGACCCTTTCATCATTATAAAATGACCTTTTCTGCCCCTGGTAATAAGCCTTGCTTTGATATCTACTTTGCTATTAAAATAGTGAGATTTTATTTGATTAGAGTTAGCAGAGAATATCTTTTTTGATTGCTTCAATTTTCTCCTATTTGTACCTTTATATTTAAAGTTGTTTCCTGTAGGCAGCACACAGTTGAGCACTGCTTTTTTTATTCATTCTGAAAATCTCTACCTTTTAATTGGGGTGTTTAGGCCATTTTTATTTTTAATGAGATTATTGAATGGTAAGGTTTAACTCTATTACCTTACTATATGGTTTCTATTTGTCTCATTTCTTCTGTATTCCATTTTCCCCCTTTTTCAGCCTTCTTTAGGATTGAGTGCTTTTTATGATTCCATTTTATATCTATTGTTGGCTTTTTAGCTATAACTCCTAGTTGTATTATTTTAGTGGTTGTTTTAGAGTTTACAGTATCTCTAAAATACTCTTTAAGATACTCTTAGAGCAACTTTAAAGTAATCTTAATGCATCTTTTTTGACTGTTTCTTTTTTATTTGTTTTATTTTTTCTTAATGCATCTTAAGTTATCACCAGTTATCATCTTTAAGTTATATTACCTGTAAGTAATATAAAACTACACATAAGGTAGGTGCTAGAAGCTTACAGTAGTATACTTCCAATTCTTCCCTCACAACTTTTGTACTATTATTGAAATACATTTTACCTTTACATATGTTATAACCCCATACTATCTTATAATATATTTTTGTTTAAACAAAAATTATCTTCTAAAGTGAGTTAAATAATAAGAAAAAAACAGTTGTCCTTTTTTCTTCCAGCACTTTAAATATGTTGCTCCACTGTGTTCTAGCTTGCATTGTTTATGACAACAAATCATGGTAGTAACCCTTACATTTGTTCTTCTGTATGGAACATGTCTTTTTTCTCTGGCATCTTTTAAGATTTTCTCTTTGTCACTGGTTTTATTAATTTGATTATGCTGTAAAACCTTATTATAGCTTCTTTCATGTTTCTTGTACTTGGAGTATATTATATTTCCTTTTTTGTTTGTTTGTTTTTTTGTGGGGGAGGGTGGGTTGTAGTTTTAATCAGAACTGGGAAATTTGGGTCATTATTTATTCAAATATTTTTTTCTATACCTCCCAACCAACATTGGGAACTCCAATTACACATGTATTATTCTTGTAGTTGTGCCCAGCTCACTGACAGTATGTTTATTTCTTTCTCTCTCTCTCTCTCTATTTCATTTGGGCAGTTTTTGTTGCTGTGTCTTAAGTTCACCAGCCCAGCTCACTGACAGTATGTTTATTTCTCTCTCTCTCTCTCTATTTCATTTGGGCAGTTTTTGTTGCTGTGTCTTAAGTTCACCAATCATTTCTTCTGCAATTCCTAAAACGCTGTTTATAACTCCAAGTGCATTTTTCATCTCACTCATTGTAGTCTGCATTTGAAGTTTGATTGGGTCTTTTATCTATCTTACATGCCTTAGCTTTTTGAACATATGAAATATAATTATTATAACAGTTCTACCATCTTGTCAGTTCTGTGATGGTTTTAATTGATTGATTTTTCTTCAATTATGGATTATATTTCCCTACTTTTTAATATATCAGGTACTTTTTGATGGCATTCCAAATACTGTGAATTTTACCTTGATTGGTATTAGATACTTTTGTATTTTTATAAATCTTCTTGAACTTTGTTCTGGGTTGCAGTTAAGTTACTCGGAAATATTTTGATCCTTTCAGGTCTTGCTTTTAAAGTTTGCTGGACGTGACCAAAGCAGTGCTCAGCCTAGGGCTAATTATTCCCCAATACTGAATTAAGACTCTTATTTGTACTCTACCCAGTGCTT